CCCCCCCCCCCCCCACACACAAGTGTATAGCTCGACCAGACAGAGGGGCATCAGACAGTGTGGTGTGGTGTGGTGTGGTCTGGCATGACGCGTGTCTGTCGATGTGTGTTGTGTACTGACTGTATAGTGTGTCTGATCTGAGCGCAAGTCCGGTGCAGATCCCATCGGACAGTGTGCCATGCTGTGCTATGCTATGCTTTGCTCTGCTATGCTCAACCGCACATGTGCTATGCTTCGGTGTCTCAGTCAGTGAGGTCACCTGCGTGCCTGCCTGTGTGTGCGTGTGTCCGTCCCGTCCCGTCCCGTCCAATCTCGACAAATGGTTGGTTGAGGACCCCGTGTCTGTCTGTCTGTATGTGTGGAGGCATGGCATGGCATGGATGTGTGCTGCCTCAACGGTTTAAGAAACAAAAATACACACCACTCTCAGGCCTGCACAAAACCTTTCTGGCTCTCCCTCCCCGCCCTACACAAACAACTCATCACATCACATCACACACACACAGCGAACACGAATCCATCTATCATGGATTCATGTCAGAATTCTCTGCGGCCCTGCCTAGTGCAGCCCTCTCGTCAGCCAAACCCACACGCCTCAGCAGCGCCTCTTCACACTCACTGACACCACCCCCACCCCAAGTCACTCCCCCACTGTGTACGACCATCGACGCCACCAGCAGAGACACAAACTCTACGAAATCGGTAAAGGTCAGCTCCATGTGCTGGGCGGGGAGGGCGGGGAGGTCCCGGCGGGCCGCCAGCTGACGGAGCACGGCCTGAACACACACACACACACACACACAGGGAGAGAGAGAGAGAGAGAGAGATGCGCTGTATGTCAGTCATGTCAGTCATGTCAATTACCGGTGCGTGCCTCTCTGGCGGCCACGGCCGGGTGAGCCCAAAGTCCTCGGCAAATCTCATGGCAGCACTCCCAGTCATGACGGCCATCCCGCCCCCATCTCCCCCCGCACGTCTCTTTGCGTACACATCGAACACGGCCATCAAGGCGTCGGGGTTTATCGCCTCCCACACCTGCTGCAGCACCTCGGCCGTCACCCGCAGCGGCCTTGTGTGGGGCTCAGGTAGGGCGCGGGAGGGGGGGGGACTGGCGGTGGTGTCTCCCTTCTCTGCTGCTGCTGCTGCTGCTGCTGTTGCTCGGACCTGGCGGGCCAGTGGCAGCAGCTTGGTGGTGAACAGCTGTTTTTGGGAGGATATCTGCGCGGCGCGAGAGAGCGAGAGAGAGAGAGAGAGAGGAGATGCTTGGTAGAGCTCATCTGCGTCACGGTGTTGTCACTGACAGGATCGTTGGATGGGTTTTCGATGGACGCGACGACGGCCAGGGCGTCCTTGAAGCTGGCGAAGGACATGACGGCCGCTGACCAACGACCAACAGAGAGAACGGTGAAACAGACTACTCAAGCTCTGTCAGTGGTGCATGTCTGTCTCACTTTGGTTGCGAGCCGCTGCGTCGGCAGCCAGCTGATTTCTGCATCCATGGGAATGAACCACACAGGCGCCTGTGTGTCTCCATTGCGTCACATTTGTCTGGTTGTGGTGTCTCCCTACCTGAGTTGGTCCCTGTGTGTGGCGCAGAGCTGCCCGTCGTCACACATCTTGAGCAAGGCCTCCTCGTCGATCCAGGATATATCCTCGATGGAGACGCCGTAGTGCGCAAACAGCACCCGCAACGTCGATCCACCCTGCAGACACAGCACAGCACAGCATCTGTCCGTCTCCACACAGCTACAAAGCTGAGCTCACCCTTCAGCGGCTTTATCGTCGCTTTGCGCCTGCGTCGGCTGTGTGGGCTCTTCCCGACCACCCACTCCCACTCCCACTCCCTCCCCCATCTTTGGCGGTGTCCACAGCAGCCTCTCAGACCGCATCGCCGTATCCCCCACAGGCGGCAAGTCAGCATCACCCTTCTCGTAATCTGTGGTAAGGTCGGCGGTGGAGGTGGGGGAGGCAGCAATGCCGAAGCAGCCAGGGGTGCTTGCGCGGCGGGCAGCAGTGGAGGTGAGAGGGGCGGGGAGGGAATGGCAAAGCGAAACGGGCGGCCCGGAGGCGGCGGCCATCTCAGCTCAAAAGCTCCCATTCTCATGTCCTCGACCTTCCTCCGAGCCGCCCTGCCCCTCTGCACGCGCTGTATCGTGACTGCCGCATCCTCCCTCCGCCGTCTCTCCCTCTCCACTTCCCTCCCACCCAATGTGCTCACTCTTCCCGCTGTGGTGCGCCGTCTCCTGATCTGCCGTCTGCCGCCACGATATGGCCGTCCCGGTGAGAGCTGCGGGGCCGGCCCGGGCGAAGATGGAGGGCCGAATGACAGCTGCTGGGCTGTGGGCGGGGCTGTGGCTCTCTCGAGGGCGTGGGGGGACCGTGTGTGTAGGTGTGATGGTGGGAGTGAGGGCGTCATGCGGACGGAGGGGAGGCCGCGGGGGCCCTGCAGACGAGGCGTCATATGAGGGTCGGGCATACCCTGCACAGCACAAGAAGGAATGCTATTTGACATCTATCGTGTGTGCATGTGTGTGTCAGAGTGCCTTGCGTGTCTCTGCTCACGTGTCTCGGCTGTGGCGTGAATGACGGTGGCGGCTCTCTTGGCGTCTTGCGGAGCTCAGCGGGGAGTGAGGGCTGGGTGACGGCTGTGGCAGGTGATCCGCCCAGCAGACTTTGATACTCGGACTCGAGGTCTCTTTGAAGCTGACACAACACAAGACACCACACGCGTAGAGAGAGATGTTTCCACTGTCTTGTCTTGTCGGTTCTGTGTGTGTGTGTGGTGTGTGTGGTGTGTGTGCGTGTGTTTGCCTACCTCTCCGACTCTGTGTGTGAGCCTCTGCAGGTGATGCTCCTGCACCAACGCCTGCAAGCACCACACATCCAGACATACACACCATACAGACGCACACACACACATGGATGCCGTGCTGTGTTGTGCTTCTGTCCACATACACACCATACACACCTTGTCTTTCTCCCTGATGGCCCTCCAGTAGTTGTGATGGATCACATCGGCCAAGGCCGCAGACCTCGCGTAGCGGTAGGCATAGCCCTGTCGAGACGCCTCAATCCCGTGGGCACTTCCTGCGCCCGCCCATCAGCCATCCCATCCAGTGTGGTGGGTGGGGGGGTGTGTGGATGTATGTATTGCTCACGGGCGAGTCTGTCCATCTCCTCTGCCTCCCGTGATCGCACTTGTCTGCCTGGGTGTGGCTGCTGCCTCCGTTGCCATGACGGGTTAGTCTTGAGGTCGTGCAGTGCCTCGTCGAAGCCCAATATCTTCAGACGAGCCCCCTGACAATCACAATCACAAGTACACAGACAGGCCGACAGTGAGAACGAAAGAACCTGTTATATCTGGTTGATTGCTGGCTGGTTTGTGTGCCTCTGGTGGCGGTATGTGTGGTGGTGGGGGGCGGTCGGGTGTCAGGACGAGTGGAGAGCCCCTGATGTGCTCGCCGTGGAGAAGAACTGCACAGACGCAGGGAGGCGGGCAGGGAGGGAGGGAGGGAGGGAGACAGGAAGGGAGACACACGCATCGCATGTGCGGTGCCTGTGTGTCTGGGTGTCTCTCCCTTCCTTCGTCACTCACTGTGCAGGACACATTTGAGGAAGGCGCATCCGTACTCAGGAAGAGCACAAAATGATATCGTGTACTGCATGGGATGAACATACCAACCATACAAACAAACAGCCCGCCAGCCATCCCGCAGACACTCACTCACAAGATAACATACCTCTCCTCCCTCCCTCCCTCCCTTGCTCAGCTCACGGTTCCGTTTTCATTGTCGATGTTTCTGATGATGCGCATCGGCCCCACGCCCCGCACACCAAAGGGGTCCCCCCCACGCTGCAGCGGGTTGCCAAACCGATCACGGGCCTCTATATACACCTCCTGGACGCGACGCCACAATATGATATGATCGATGCGTGGCGTGTGCAGTAGGTACCTGTGGGTGTCCGTCCACGCTAAATGTGGGAGGTACAGTGCCTTCAGGGAGACACAGCTGTGATATCGACGCGAAGGCCTCGCCGGGCTCGATGGCAATGCCGAAGGGGAACCCTGTTCAGTCAGGATGGCGAGAGGGACATACACACATGCGCTGCGTCTGCACGCACTAATCGTTCACCTGGCAAGGGCACAGGGGGGTTGGAGACCGTGTCCTCAATCAACACATACAGAAGGTAAAACCCCGGAGTTGTGCGCATGTACCGAACCTGGCAGAACAAACCACACACACACGTCCTCCATCCCATCTTCCCCCGACAGACATGCACGACTGACCAGGTAAGTCCCGTTGCCGTTGTCCTGTATGGCTGGCCGCGGCTCGATGCGGTCGCTGTCCCTCATGCCGTCCCCCTGCAGGATGGGCACGATCGGTGGTGTTGGCACCATGTCAGGGACATAGGCATCCTCCGCCTCGCCCCCTGCTGGCTCATGTGGCTGCTGCTGCTGCTGCTGCTGCTCGCCAGGCAGGAGTTGTCTCTCGAGGTAGACGAACAGCTTCAGCCCGCCCTCCTGCATGCTGCGGCCGTGGCTGTCGACAGTGTACACCACAAACTGACAGACAGACAGACAGACATACAGACAGACAGAGAACGAAACATCCATCCATCTTTGTGTATCTGATCTACGTCGATCGTTGTGGTCTGTGATTGCATTGCCTACCTCCAGAGTGTCGCCCTCCCTCCCGCCCTTGAGCCCCCTCCCGTGCGCATAACACAGCTGCGGCTCGACCGTCGCGGCCGCCTCACACTCGCCTGTCTCGATATCCTACACACCACACCCGATGGGGGACAAATGGCCGCCACGCCGTCGATCCTTTCAGATTCACGCATACCATACCGCTGCTGCCTGTGGTGGCAGGGGCGGCAAATCGTCCCTTGGCAAGACAGCGTTGGAGGCGCTTTCCTGTACCTCCCGCAGCAGCGTCCCGAAGCGGACCGACGTGCCGAAGTCGGTCGACGGAGGGGCGATCTCTGCTGAGCCTCCTGGTCCACCGCCGGTGCGCACGTGTTCATTCTCGAGATAGGCTGCACTTATTGACAGACAGCAAATCAGACAGTGGCTGCCACTGTCCTGGTGTGAGAGACGTGACGTGACTGACCCTGGAGCGAGTGGATTCTGTCGGCTTCATTGAGATCAGCAAATCCCACCTTCAGCGGTGTTAATGCCCCCTGCTCAAGTCGCACCAAAGACACACGACGGGCTGGCAGTCAGTGCATGAACCATCACGGTTGCAATCCAACGTGCTCCTGACCCTTGAAGTTCCTGGAGACGGCTCTCGACCAGTGGATGTCATGGCAGTGCTGCAAAGGTCATACAGCGACAAAACGCACAGATGCGTGCAGCGCTGAAATTGTCAGCTCCCTGCAGTTTCCTGCGACAAACCTGTTTCGTTTGCGCTGGGGGCGAGACTGGGGGCGAGGAGCCCGCGGCATCATTTCCAACCCGATCTCTGATCTGGAAGCCGCTGCCATCGTTCGTGACGGCACATCAACGAACACTCTCTCGCCAAGAAAGAAGTCTCTGTCGGGCTTGAACCATTATTCAAGCCTTTTCCCCGGACAATTAATCACAATGACGCGCCCCGAGGTCCACCCGAGGCGGCAGCTGCACGTGTCGGTCCTCACCATAGGTTTCCTGTACATCTTCCTCGAGTCCTTCACCCACACCCTCATCATCCCCATGGTCCCGCAAGTGCTCCCCCACCTCACGCACACGGCGTACTCCATCCTCATCTCATCCAGAGCCTTCGCCACCGTCTTCCTGGTGCTGCCCGCAGGCGCGCTGACCGACAGGGTGGGCTGGCGGCGGCTGCTGATGCTGCCGCTGCTGCTGCAGATGGCGGGGGCGGTGATGTTCTTTGCCTACCCCAACTATGGGCTTTATCTGATGGCCCGGGTCGTCCAGGGCATTGCATCCTCCTTTGGGAACGTGGTGGCCCTTACGGGGGCAGCATCCACCCACACAGAGGAGAACAGGGGAGCGGCGTTCGGGGTGGTGCTGATGGGGGACTTCGGCTACTCGGTCGGCTCGACGCTGGGCGGCATTCTGTTCGACGCCGGGGGGCATCGGCTGCTGTTCGGGGTGCTGCTGATGATTATTGTGTCGTTCAGCGCTTTGGTCATTCTGCTGGTGCCGTGTCTACCGCCTGACCTGCAGCAAGAGGGAGGGGCTGCTGAAGGTGGAGAGGGGAGGAGTGAGAAAGGGGAGGTGCGGGAGAGAGGGGGTGGGGATGACGACTTGGGGCTGCTGGCGATGGCGCGGAACTTCCACCTCAATGTGACGCTGTATGGCATCTGGTGAGCCGTTTGTTCTGGGCGGGCGGCTGTGAATGCATGCAATGTGTGCAGATGATCTATGTGTCATGACATGGCATGGCATGGCATGGCTAGGTGTGGGTGGGGTTGTTTCATGGCGTCGCTGTCCTGGATGCCCCGCTACTGGGAGAAGGAGCTCCGCTTCTCAGCCACTAGAGCCGGTGTCCTCCTCAACCCCGCAACCATCGCACGAGTACCCCCATCCCTCCCTCCCCCGATCTATATTTTTTTATGTCTCCCTTTCCTCCTCTCTGTGTCTGGTCTGCACTGCATCCCATCCACACAGCTGCTGGCCGCCCCGGTGATGGGCTTCCTCGTCAGCTACTGCCGTCTCCCGCCACAGCTCGCCCTTGCGTGTGCCAACCTGCTGTGCGGGGTGTCCTCTCTTCTACTGCTGGCCTTCCCGTCGGCCATAGCGCAGGCGTGCATCCTGGCTCTGCAGGGGTGGGGGACAGCAGCGGTGGACAGCGGTGGTTTGGTGACGGTGGTGAAGATAGTGCTGGAGGAGCGGGGGGTGGGGCGGGTGGGGACGGGGTATGCCCTCGAGGACGTGGCCTACAATGGGGGGATCATTTGGGGGCCGATCATCGTGGGCGGGGTGGTCCATCTTACTGACGACTACTGGTCAGAGAGAGGAACACACACACACACACACACAGAGAGAGAGAGAGAGAGAGACGGAGACACATGTTCTTGGATGTGTCTCCGATTGTTGTCTGGATGCCTGGATGCAGGCTTGGTTTCTTCTGCATGGCGTTGCTGGCCTTCACCGGGAGCGCCCTCGTCTTCTACTCTTGGTCCACCTACCTCCCCCCGCCCGCCCGCTCTCCATCTATTCACCCCTGTCTCTCTGAGGAGGACACGGAGGGCCTCCTGCGCCGCCCCTCACACCACTCACGCGTCACACACTCTTCTGACGACTCGGGATCATCACCGAGCCCTCCTGTCAGCAAGCGGAACTCTTACCATCTGCGGGTCATGGACGAAGACCATTACGGTGGGGGAGGGGGGTGGGCTGTGCTGGGTGGTGACCAGAGGAGGGCGGTCGGCAAGTCGATTCACGCGACGGTATATGGGAAGGTTCAGAGCACGTCGCTGCTGCCTGTGGACGAGAACAGCGAGAGCACCGACAGCGAGACGGCGGACAGCGGAATGATAGAGATGGCAACGAGTGGTGGAGATGGGGGCCCCCACCGGCACCAACATGCGCACCACCAGCACCAGCACCAGCATGACAAGAGGGTGTCACTGGTGTGGTCGCCGAGACAGTCGTACGGGCACGACAGTGGGGAGGATGGGGCTGGTGGTGGTGGTGGTGAGGGTGAGGGTCGGCGCGTGTCTAGGGTGCGGACACAGCGGCTGAGTGTGTCGTCTGTGTTGCTCAGCAGTGGCATGGAAAGAAGACTCACTGTGCAATGACTGACATGACATGGCACGACTTGACTGCATTCATTGACACACAATGATGCATTGGATTCTCATGTCTCAAGTACCTGAGTCACTCGCCTCGCCCAAAACACATATCAACACACAAACCCACACACACCCATCCTCCCACGCCAGCACTGCACCTTCCTGAACCCTCACTATAATCAGTCAGTAGCCCTTCACATTGACCAGCGGCTGCAGCCGATGGACCACTTGCACCAGGCTCGCTTGGTTGCGCATAACCTCTCCCAGGTCCTTGTACGCCGTGGGGGCCTCGTCCCTGACTTTTGGGTTCGTGTCGCACACAATGCCCTTCATCGACTGCACAAACTCACGCTGATCGACACACCGACACACACACACAGGTGAGCGGTTTGTTGGCTTTGGAGGCTTATTCACTCACTTGTGAGATGTGCTTGACGGCGGCTGTGCGGGACATCCTGCGTCCTGCCCCGTGTGAGCATGACTGCCAGCTGAGTGAGTTGCCCTTGCCCTCCACGATGTATGTGCCCGTGCCCATCGACCCGGGGATGATGCCCAGCTCCCCTGCACGGTCAGACACACACAGGCCCGGGCCGAACACACGTGTGTGTGTGTGTGTGCGTGCGGTGCGGTGTGCTGCTGTCGTTCCTACCCGCCTTTGCTGACGTGGCGCCCTTGCGTGTGACGTAGAGATCCTCAGTCCGCTTCTCACCTGAGCACCACAGCACACAAGTCACGGGCCTGTGTGGCCGGGAGGTGTGTGTATGTGTGTGTGCGTGTGTGTGTGTGTGTCGGGAGGTGTGGGTGTCCACCTGTGTGAGGGTCGGTGTAGGTGCAGGTTTCGCATGTGCAGTAGTTGTGGTGGATGTTGACCGTCGACGACCAGTCCGGCACCTTCCGAGTCACCTCCTGCATCACCTGCATCAATCGCATCAATCGGGGACGCCGGCCATTCATTCCTCGGTCGTGGCACTGACACGACACACCTCAGTGATTGATCGACATGACATACATACCCTTGCGAAGGCCTTGATCATGAAGGAGCGGTTCATGAAGGCGTAGGCCTGGCAGAAACGCATGTCGGCTAGGTAGTCCTGGCCCTCCTTGGTGTCCAGGTACAGAAAACTCAGACCTGCACCCATTCATCCGGCCATCCATCCATCGGTGAGAATGCACACACACTTTCTCCGGCTCTCTCCCTCCCCTGCTGACTGACTGACCTTCTTTTGTGCCGCCCGTCTGCTTGGCCGCCAGTTGGTCGTAGTGCCGGGCGGTGATGTTGCCGATGTTCCTGCTGCCCGAGTGCAGCAGCATCCAAACATTATCGCTCTCGTCGTAGACCAGCTCGATGAAGTGGTTCCCGCCGCCTAGCGTCCCCAGCTGCAGCGTGTGTCTCCTGTCAAAGGTGTCCCGTATCCACGACGTCGGCTCACGCTCGGACATCAGCGACTTGGTCGCCTCCCGCGCCCCTGCTGGCTCTCTGTCATGGGAGTCAAACCCTGTGGACAGACAGCAGCCGGATGATAATGCAGCGCAGCAATGGTGTCACCTTCACCGCACCTACCCGTTGGAATGCTCATCTTCAGCCCCTTCTGTATCTTTGCGAGCTGCCCGTCGGTGAGGTGGCTTCGCTTGAGGCCGCGGAGGGGCACAGCGCACATCCCGCAGCCGATGTCCACACCCACGGCGTTGGGGCAGATGGCGTCCCTTGCTGCATGAGCGGGTCGACACACACACAGTCACACACGAACACACACAGGGAGGGAGGTATTTATGCGCCGTGCCGCTGCAGCCAGGAATCTTTTCTCCAGGACGGGACGGCTGCTTGCGTACTTGCGAAGACTGATCCGATTGTGGCGCCTTTACCGAGGTGCACATCCGGCATGGCCGCCACGAAGCCCACCACAAAGGGCTTCTCCGCAAGGGCCACCAGCTGCCGATACGTGGCGTCATCATAGTCACTCGTGTAGCTGACACACACCCGCACAGACCACACACACACACACACACACACAGAGAGAGAGAGAGGGAGGGAGTGACCACGTGTGTGTTCGGAATGTGTGCCTCAGGCGAGTGCCCCTCCCTCAGCCTCTCACATGTACACAGGGACGCCCCTGGTCTCCACGACAATCGGCAACTCCAACTCCCCATCCCCCAGCTGCCGTCCACCCCGCTCTTGAGCACTCTCCCTCTTCACCATGGCACGGCCCTCCTCCCGTCCGGCCACTTCGACTTCCACCTCCACCTCCATCCCATCGTCCTCGACGGCATCGTCATTGCAGGTCTTGAAGTTCGTGGTCGGCTCGTCCTCTGCTGCCAGCAGTCGGTCTCTCTCACTCGCAATGGACGAGGTGCCGTGATGCGCGGGCTGCCGACGGCGGTGCTGATGATTGTGGGAGGAGTAGTGCCGGTGGTGACACAGTCCACAATAGGGCGGCGGGAAGGCGCTGATGGGATGGGTGGTGGGGAGATGGAGGCATCTGATGAACTGCTCAACCGCAGCTTGAGCCGGGTGTTTGTGATACGACCGGGAGTCGGCAATAAGACTCCTGGCGGACGAAATCTGATGCCACGGACGCTGAATGCGCTGCATCAGTAGACGTGGGCGTGGCTCACCTTTTAGTTTCCTGCGAGCTTAGAAATGGCGAGCTCATGATTCCCGAATTCCCCCTTAACTCGTCCACGACCAGCAGTGTCAAGATGACCGAGATCCCCCCACGAGAAAGGGGGCAATCAATCTTTTAACCCTCCTCTGACGCTCCATCCCCTTCCATCCATGCCATGGAGCAAGAGCCATCGACCTCTCTGGGCGCTCGGCGCCTCCTGCCCCTCTCAATCGAGGCCCCGCCACCATCCCGCTCCATCACTGGCAGCTCATCAGCCGGGCTGGGGAGGCTGCCCACGACCCCGTCGGCAGCTTATGACCACCTGTTGAGCTACGAGCGGGCCACGATCTGGCTGCACTATGCCAGGTACGCCGAGGAGTACGTGCCGGAGGACTGCTTCCAGACGGCCATGCAGGTGCGGCTGTTCAAGTGGCGGCGGCGGTGCCTGCCGCTCATCAGGGGTGTGTTCTTTGTCTACTTGGTGGCTGCCTTTGTGGAGTGGCCGTCGTGGTGTCTGGAGAGGGAGTGCGGGCCGCCCAGCAATGTGCTGCGGTCGGATTTGCCGCTGTGGCCGCCGTGGGTGACGCGGCTGATTGAGCTGGGCTGTCTGCTCTGCATACTTGCCTACTACATCCTTGCCGGAAAAACGCGTAGGCCTGCCTGCCTGCCTGCTGTGGGCACAAGCGAACACGTGACACCTCTGTGTGCTGTGCTACATTGTTGACTTGATGCAGTTCGGTTCTTCCCCTGGACATGGTGCCTGCTGGTGCTGACCGCTCTGTCCCTCCTCGACGTGAGCACGGCGTGCTTCAACACGATCGGCATCGTGCCCACCACCTTCAGGCTGTCGCGGCTGCTGCGGCCACTGATCTTCTGCCTGGGGTCCTTGACGATGCGGACGACGGTGATGCGCATCGCGCAGACGGTGCCCAACACTATTCAGGTGTTCGGGATCATCTTCCTGTCGGTGCTGGTGTTCGGCTGGGTGGGGGTGATATTCTTCAGCGGCACCGGGGGACACGCCGAGTTCCCCACCTTCAAGTACTCAGTCAAGTCGCTTTTCGTCTCACTCACCACTGCAAACTTCCCACAGGTGACCTGACGTCTGTGCTGTGTGTGTCCGCTGTCCGTCCAGTCCATTGGGGTGTCCCTCCACGGTCTGTCTGTCTGTCTACTGGGGTGTGCTCGTGTGTGTGTCAATCAGGTGATGCTGAGTGCGTACGCCGACAACCGTGCCGCGCCGATCTTCTTCGTGCTCTTCACCTTCCTGGTCATGACCCTCCTCATGAACGTCCTCCTGGCGGCCATCTACAACAGCTACAAGGAGGTGCTCCGCGAGTGGGTCCTGCAGTTCTACCTCAACCGCAACCGGGCCCTCCAGGCCGCCTTCGACCTCCTCAAGAACAAAGACGGCGTCGTCACCATGGACGAGTGGTGCGCCTTCTTCTCTCACTGGAGCGGTGGGGATAGGGAAGGCGGTGGAGGTGGGGTGATGCACGTGAAGCGGGGGAGGCGGCTGTTCCGGTGTCTGGACACCGACCACAATGGGGACTTGACCGAAGACGAGTTCATGCTCCTCATACGCGTTATGACTGAGAAAGGTCGGTCGGGGACACACAGACACACACACACACACAGAGAGAGAGATGGATGGATGGATGTGTGTGGTGTGTGTCCACCAGATGTGGTGGTGTTGCGCTACCCTCCCGAGAGCAAGGCGCGGATCCGCCGGCTGGTGGCCATCTGCCTCAGCAGACGGTTCGACATACTCATCGACGTCCTCATCACCATCTCGGTCATCATCACATGCACACAGGTGACGGACGTCTCAGGACTCTCTCTCCCTCCCTCCCTCCCTCCCTCTCTTACCCACACCGACCTCTCTGTCTGTCTGTCTCTGTGTGCGTCAGACAATGATGTTCGTCGAGGCGTCCACCGCCCTGCATCAGCACACCACGACGGGCGAGGGGCAGCCGCCCGACCACCACCCCGTGGCGTGTTTCTACTCGTCAGCAGCGCTCTACTACCTCCAGCTGGCGCTCTCCGCCACCTACGCGGCAGAGCTCGCCTTCAAGATCAGCGTCCTGGGCTTCGAGCGCTTCTGGAAGATACACCCCCTCAGAAACAGGTTAATGGGTGACCTGACTGACCTGCCACACACGGATTGATGGCGTCTCTTTCTCGCCCATTCTCTCTCTCTCTCTCTCTCTCCCTGTCTCTCTGTCTCTCTGTCTGTGTGTCTGTGTGTGCAGGTTTGACCTTTATGCGGTGATTCCCCTGGTGCTGGCCGAGGCGCTGTTTCTGATTGAGGGCCGCGGGGGCGTGGGCCACGTGTTTGTGGAGCGGGGCGAGGGCGCCGCGGGGTGGTGCATGTCCGGCCTGGGAAGGTTCCTGGCCTTCCTGAGGATGCAGCGGGGCATCAGGCTGCTCTTCAACTTCGAAAGGCTGCAGACATTTGTAAGCCCTGCAGGCACTGCACTGCACACACCGAGGGAGGGAGGGGAAGGCATAATGACTGACGTCACGTCCATGTGTGTGGATGTGTGTGTGGTGCATTGCAGGCGACTGAGCTGGCCTCAGTGTTGACGAGCTTCAACACGATCGCGGGGCTGCTGATAGTGGTCTTCTACGTGTACGCCACGGTGGGCATCCAGCTGTTCGGCGGCCGCATGACGCTCGACAAGGTCGCCAACCGCATCATGGGCGCCGTCAACACCGTCACTGATGCCAACGTCACCGTCACCATGCCCCTCAGTGTCGAGGTCAATGGCACCTCGTCAGCGTCACTGCCGCCTTTGCTGGAGCACGCCACTTTGGAGGCGCTGCTCAACTTCAACGACTTCTACTCGTCGTTGATCACGCTGATCGTGCTCATGATCAACGGCTGGCATGACACGCTCGAGGTGCGCACCGCACGTGTGTGGGGGGTGGGTGGGGAGGCCTATTGGGTGGACCAGGAGGGAGGGAGTTGTGTGTTGTGTGATGTGTGATGTGTGTGTCAGATCTATCTGGAGGAGACGTCTGAGTGGTGCGGGCTGTTCTTCGCGAGTTTCTACATCCTGTGTGTCCTGATCGTGCTCAACTGTTTCATGGCCCTCATACTCGAGGCCTTCGACCACGTACGCACCTCCACCCACCTCCACCACCAGCACACCACACACCGAACGAACGACTCACTCATCGGTCCCTTCCTGTGGCTGTGGCTCTGTGTGCATCAATCATATGTCATTCACTTATCGGTGCCCACAGGTGAGTGAGGGCCCGTCGAGCGACCCCACCCGCCACCGTATCGCGTCCGCACCTGGCGTCGCACGAGAGGAGGTCGGCCCTTTCCTTCCCAGATGCGCTCGCTGCACACGAAAGAGCACAGAGCCCATTGGTGGTGTGATTTGACCTTCCCTTCCTCCGCCATCCTATTCATTTGCCAGGTTTTGCGGAAGATGTTTGCCGACGAGTTGGACTGGCTCGACAAGTCATCCAGCTTCTACATCTCCACCTCGTCCGGCATATCGGCGTCACGCATCATGCGACAGCCCACTGGAGGCGCTCTCGCCTCCGTCCGCGGCCCCTCCCCCTTCTCACCCGCCATCACGCCCCCACAGAGCCCCGTGAAGCTGCCCCCCACACATGCGGCGCAACAGCAGGGGCAGACACCGGGCAGCAAGAGCCAGAGGGAGAGATCGGGAGAGTCCTCCCCGCCACACGCATTTCTTTTCCGCGGGTCGAGCACTGACGATGAGGCCGACTCGCCCTTTGCCAGGAGTCGGTGGGACAGCAACCACCATCACGAAGCCAGGATTGACGTTGAGGTGCCGCAGTTACCACCCGCACCAGCCCCCCCACAGCCATTGGGTGACGAGTTTGCGCGTGTCGGTGGTGGTGGTGGTGGTGACGATGGGCAGCGAGAGGAAGAGACGCGGATGGACCATCAGCACTTGTTCGGGCCGCCGTGATGGACCGACTGCCGATAGGGAAAAGGCAGTCAGATCAGGGGGTATTTGTGTTGGTCTGTGTTGGTTTGTCGGCTGATTGGTTCGCTTTGGCTGTGGACGGACGGGACGTCTATAGCGGTGCAAGGTGCGAGTGACGTGTGTGATGGCAGTGAATGAGGCTTGTGCATAGCTCAGAGAGACAAGACAGCATGGCTGGCTGGCTGGCTGGTCCAGACGTTGTGAGATGCGACGAACACACGACACACTGTGAAGGCATTCACTACCAATGTCACTCGGATCAGTGCCAGCCACTGATAAGCGTCGGTCTGTCTGCACTGTCAATGGTCAATTGTCAGCCACCTCGCCATTGATTCCTCTTCGCGCGCACACCCACGAGTCAGTCCATCTCTCTCTCTCATGTCGACAGCAGCTGTGCCTTCTCGTAGAGCGTGTCAACCACCTGCACAGCACACATCACACACACACCCCTCCCATACACCCACCAGACGGACAGAGTCTCTCCCCCCGGCTGTGTGATGTGATTCATGTGTGTGTGTGTGTGTGGGTGTGTCTGTCTGTCTGTGTGTCTGTGTGTCTGTCTGACCTCCGACATGTTCTTGATGGACGCGAGTGCGTCCTCGTATGTCTTGCGGAGTGGCGGCTCGTCGAAGACGATCAGCACCCCGATGCCCTGATCCAGGGTGCCGTGCAGCTTCTTGTCCAGGATCATCTCGCTGATCCTACAAGGAAGAAGAAAGACAAGACACACACAGGCAGACAGACAGACAGATAGGCCATGCCAGGCCACCAGACAGACAGACAGACAGACACCCCGTCACCTCACCCCCTAGTAGGTGCCCCCCCCCCATTGCCTTGCCGACTGCCTTACTTGGTTTGCACTCTGACAAGCGGCAAGTCGATGAGCTTCGCAACGTGCTCTATCTCAACACTGACACACACACACACACACACAAACACATGCCCACCGCACCGCACACAAATTGGATTGGATTGGGAGGTGAGGTGGCTGGGCGATGTGATGCAGTGTGAGTTGGGTTGGGTGTGTGTGTGGAGGGGACGGACCGTGAGAAGGGCTCCAGGATGCGCAGCAGGTTCTGCTCGACGAGGGTCTCGTTGAGGTCGGTGATGTGCCGACGCACAATGGGGTCGTTCTCCAGCTCTGATGCACACACATCACATACAGGACACACACACAGCTACGTGTGCGTGTGACAGACCGACGACCTGTTGGCCTCATTCACTTCACGTGACTCAGGTGCGTACGTGGTTTGTATTCTTCGAGAGTGCGTTCGAACATCTTGAGCGACCTCTGCTCGTGGCACTTGGCCACCGCCACCAACGCCTCCGTCTCCTTGCCAACGTACTTCAACCCTAGACAAACACACACACACACACACACGGATGCGGCACCCATGTGGCCAGCCAGCATGGCATGTGGTGGGCATCAATCACTCACGACAGACACAACAAATGCATACCATACCTACCGCTCTTGGCGCTGATGAGTGAGTTGACCTCCCCAGCCTGGTTGCACATGATCTTGGCCAGCAACTGGTACTTCAACGCCTATACACACACACACACACACACAGACACAGACACACCACACCGATGTGTCCCTCCCTCCCTCCGTCCCCCATACATCAGCAGGCAGGCCAGGCCCTGACTGACCGTGAGTGCCCGTGGGTCGTCAGCGACGTTGAAGGCCTCAAAGCTCTCGTAGAAGTAGGAGAACGACGTCTTGTAGTCCTTCTCCTGAGCGTGCAGGACGCCGGCCTGCAGGTCGATCTCGGCCTGCAGCAGGGGCGGGCAGTGGATGCCGTTGGCGTTGGTCCGCGCCGCTGTCAAGGCCGCCTAAACACACACACACGCACAGAGAGAGAGAGAGAGAGATGATGGATGGACGAGGTGGCCAGGCAGGCCAGCAGCTGCCTACGCTGCCTACTTTGCTCTTTGGGACGTTCTGCAGTGCGAAGTGTAGTTTTGATTCGGTAAGGTGGATCTCCACGAGGAGGTGCTTGTCGTCGAGCTTCTTGACCTCCTTGCACAACGGATTGATCAGCGACAAACCCAACTGATACCGCTCCTGCTGATAATACCTGACACGCCCGACACATACAATCATCACAGCAAACCCACACACGGATGTGTGTGAGAGGTGAGACAGGGGGCTATGTGGCTTGCTTACAGTCCTGCGAGGTCCTTTTGGACTCTGAGTCGGAGGAATGTGCGCTTCTCGTCCTTGCACCACGCAATGCAGTCCTTGCAGACCAGGATGGCCAGGTCCTCACTCCCAGGGATCTTCGTCACGTTGTCAATCAGCGTCCGCACTGAACAGAAGGAAAAGAAGCACAGCACACGCAGAGCAGACACACACACAGACAGACACACAGATACACAGACATCACATCACATCAACGCCATTAACGCACCAGTGAGTGAAGTGTGTAGTGAGTGTACCTACCGATTTTGGCTGTCCGCGCCTTGGGCAGCGTGGCAAAGAACGGCCGGATCTCTTTCATCAAATTGCGCACCTCATCGCCCCGCCTGAATGAACCACACACACACACACACACACACACACAAAACTCATGACCGAACGCCACTCACTGAATGCCTTGCAACCAAGCCTCCCCACCTTTTGGAGACGTACAGCTCCCCCAGGGCATAGATGGCCTGCTCCTGTATCTTGTATGTGTCGACGCCCTCCGCCGTGTCATTGCCGCCACCACCTCCGGCAGCAGGTCGCTCGTCCTGCCCCTCCATGGCCGTGTCTGTGTCTGTGTCGGTGCCACTTGCGATGATCTCCTTGTAGAGCTTGATGGCCTCCTCGGGGCTGGTCACCTGGGCGTCCTGCGCACGCTCCAGCTTCTTGGCCAGCGGGTGCTCCGGCACATCCACGTCCATCGGGGCAGACATGTTGTGTGTGGCCGATGAGGGTAGAGAGCCCGCCCTGCCCTGGGCTGCTCACTGATGCAAAGACAAAGAGACGGTGAGAGTGGTAGATCTGCTCGCGGGACGGGCTGATTGACGCCTGTTTGAAGTACTGACACTGACAGCGAGATCTTCCTGAAGCAATGCGAGCTTAGCAACGATCTCATCAGCCATCACTGAACGCAGATCTGTGCTGACCAGGCCCGCAGCAACCCACCAGGCTCATCGCGGTGTTCCGCTCATTCGCATCATTCTTTCGCCTTTTACTAAAGAATGCCGTGCGTGGGACACAGTTAACGCGTCTGACGCAATTTTTGCACACCCATCGCGCCCTCGGGCGTAACTGTCATGATGAGTACTATATGGCAGATGCACTCCAAGAAGGTGCTCTACGGCAGATGCACCAGTGATGCGATGACTGGTGCATCTGCCGTGTCAGTCGTATCACTCGGCGCCCTCGGGCAATAGTGGCAGTGCTCTCCCAGCGCACTCGGGCGTAGCCACGCAGGGAGAGGGCAAGTGTAGGTGTGTTGTGTGTGGGTTCTGTTGAAATGTGGTGATGGAATTCGTCGGTGTGAGAAAACGCGTTCATCATCGTCAATATAAAAGTTACACCGATCTGGCCACCGAGCCACCACACATGTAGCCCTGTCCCTCGTGTGTGCAGGAAAAAAAGAAGATGGAGCTTCAGATGCGCAGCCACACGGCATACCGCCCCCCCCCCCGCGAAGGAAAAAACGAGCACACTGTGTCTGTTCGGGCCCATTTCCATGCACTGCACTGTAGCTCGTCTCACCCATCCGCCCTCTGTCGGCACCGAGTGACTCTGATCGCGTGGAGGCCATCAGAGGCAAGCGATGGCGCCCGGAGGCGAACGGACACGAGCCACATTGCTACAACGAGTGGAAGGAATGCACCGATCATCAAGATGTGATGTAAGGGAGCGTGACAGGGACCCACCTGCCTGAGCTCCTCTCGCGTCGGTGTTAATCGGACGGACACCGACAGACAGATGGACAAGACACACACGACACAAAAGTCAGCAGCCACGGCAGCTTGACAGATACGTGTGTGCGCGTGAGTGTGTAGAGACCCCTCCCTCCCTCACTCACTCACTCACTCGTCACACACCACATCGCTCCCCACAACAACAGCCGCCGTTCGCTCTTGGTGTCACGTATGGCTCACGCTCTCCCTCTGGTCGGCTGCAGGGCTGTGGGCTGCCATGAAGCTGGGCAGAGGAAGCTGCACAGTCACACGTCAACACCAGAGCAGAACGATAGAAGAGGCCGGTGTCGGACAGCACAAGACACCCGGCAGTCAGACAATCGCAAGGCAGAAAAATCGCTGCCGCGCTCCATTGAAAGCCATCCAGCCATCCGTCCGTCCGTCAGGTGTCATCTCTCAGCCTAGTGTACACTACACGACCAAACAATCCGATCCACTCACTGCGTATGTATCGAGCCAAGGCCAGGCAGAGAGGCATTGCATTCAGGAAGGAAGACAGGCAGAGAGAGAGAGGGAGAGAGAGAGAGCGAATAAAAGCACCACCGGTCGGTCGGATGACACATGGACACACACCCAGGCAGGTTGTATGTAAGTCTGCACGTAGAGGCACTGGACGTACTGCAGGCAGTGATATAAAGGAAGGCAGCCACGATGCAATCAGTGAATGCACGCATCCCTCCCTCCCTCCCTCCCTCCCTCGAGACACCCGATCATGCGACGGGTCGCCCATACAAGCGGAGACGCGACACACCCTGCAGGCACATCACAAGAACACATTGGATCTCTTTGTTGATGTGTTGCTCCCTCCCTCCCTGCCTCCCTGGCTCCCTGGCTCCCTGGCTGGCTCACCCCGTCAGGGTAGATGGTCAGCCGCACGTGCGTGACCTCACCACACTCCTCCAACACCTGCACCAAGCATGCCAAAACACACACAGATGTACCACATCACTGCCTGTCGCTGGCCAGGCCACCATCCCGCCTCAGTCAGTCAGTCAGTCCTCACCGCGTCAGTGGAGCTGCTGGACGATGCCGCCTCCGCGCTGGCCGCCCCTCCGTCCTTGAGCGCCAGGTAGCGACGCTCGTGTGCACGCAGCTTCGTGCGAGGCAGCTGATGGATGGAGGCGATGGATGCACACAAACAAACAGACGCGGACGCATCGCATCGCATCGCATGACAGACAGACACATTGACAATGTGGCTGCACTGCACAACACCGTCGTGTGTGGTGTGGGCTTACGAGAGTCTTCCACTGAATGGATCGGGTGTTCCTCTCAAACAACCTGAAGAAGGAGAGGGAGGGGAGAGAGGGGAGAGGGGAGAGAAAAGCGTGAACGTCACGTATATGTGTGTGTGTGTGTGTGTGTGTATGTGTGTGGATACTCACTCTTTCTGGTTGAGGACGTCCCTGTCCAGCAGGTCGGGGCGGTCGCAACCCTGCACACAACCAGCGAGTGACAGGACAACCACACAGATGCCTCGCCATTGGTATGACATGACGCGGTGTGCCGGCAGCGTCAGTCAGTCACCTCGATGAGTGCCGACTCGGGGAAGTTGCCCTTGAAGTGATTCGTGTCGATCTCAATCAACTCGATGCACCCTGACACACACACATGCACACACACATGGAGCAGGTGGCGTCGCGCAGGTAGGTACCAAACCCCACTCCTCCTTCCTCCATGTGCGCATTCCAATCCTCACCTCTGTGTGCGAGCTTGAAGATGGCCCAGTCGTTGCCCACCAAGTTGGAGATCGTCCCGTCAGGACCCACCGTCAGAATCGGACTTCTAAACTTCTTCCTGAACCACACAACACGACCATGCATCGCACCCCTATCCCTCCCTCCCTACCCCCCCGTGTGTGTGTGTGTGTCTGTGTGAGTCCTCCCTCCCTCTCACCTCGCCGTTTCCCACCCGTTGCCCATGTTTGGCGCACGGTTGGGCAGCAGGCAGTTCTTGGGGACGCCGTAGTGCTGGTCGCTCCAGCACAGCGCCACCCCGCCGTTGATGCTGCTGACCAGGTCGACCAGGTCGGGCCGCACCCCAGCACCGGACTCCTGCGCCTCTCTGGCCGACCGCCTCGTCACGATGCCCGACTGCAGCTTCTCGTACATGTCCAGGATGTCACGCTTGACCTCACCGTACACACGCAGCCGCGCGATGCCGCCGTCAGGGTACATGTTGACCTTCAGGTGGGTCGCCACCGGCGGCTGCTGCTGGTGGGTGCTGTCGAGGGGCACCTCGAAGTAGTTGTGTCGCGTGTCGGGGTAGCCGGGGCCCAGGGGGTCCATGTGGATGAGGGTGTCGCGCTCGGTGAGCTGTGAGATGAGGTCGGTGACGTCCTGGATGACCTGCTCCTCCGCCCTGGTGCCCATGGTGCCCGTGTGGCGAGTGGGGTTGGACGTCAGGGCCTTGATGCGCTTCTCGAGGTCGGGGCAGTTGATGGCCTCGACGCCCACCTGGGGGGCGTTGTTGCCGGTGAAATAGCACGTGTCGATGTCCATGCCGCGGACCACACCGGGCAGACCTGACATACAGAAACATGGCAGGGAAGAAAGATGCGATGTGATGTCCTCCCTCTGCATCACATCCTCCCTCTGTGTGCGGTGTGTGTGGTGTGGTGTGGTGATTACCGAGTTGTATGATGGCGAAGTCGTGTCCGGGTGTGCGTCGCCTGCGCGACTCCCAGCCGTCCATCCACTTGCCGAACTCGGTGAACTCGCCCTCGCGCCACTCCGGTGCATCCTCCTTGAGCAGGTTGTCAGCTGCACACACACACACACACACACGCACTCACAATGCGTCGATGGATGCACCCACCACATACCGCATGTGTCCCGGTGCTACCCCCTCCCACAGCCCCCGCCCTCACCCGCAGCGAACCACTCATCGGTGGCAAAGAGTACCTTGCCGCCCACAGTGCACGAGGACAGCTCCGTCAGCGACAGAAATGCAGGCTCCGTGCCGTCGCGCACTGGCGTGGCGCGGGAACGCTGCGCCCCCCCAAACGGCATTGGGAATATGTGACTCAACAGGCCACCTCGACTGCCCGATCTGTCCTTGATTGGCGAGGAGGTGAGGACGTTCTTCACAGCATCCACAGTGTCGGTGACGAGGCGGCTGACCGATAGACCCGATGCGGGGAAGCGAGATGCGCCTGAAGGGGAGGTCTTCTGCTTCTTGCTGAGGGGAGGGTCGTCCTCCTGCTCGTTGGCAGCCACCTCGTCGCCTTCGTTGGCTGCCTCGAGGGTCAGATCTTTGGCGCTTCGCTTCGCAGGAGGTTTCTGGTTCTTGACGTCCTCGAGATCTTCTCCCGCCGTCGCGGACAGGTGGCGAGCGGCCTGAGTCTGAGGATCTGCAGCCTCTGCTGACATCGAGGACGATAGATGCAGGCGAGAAACACACCAGAGCTGTTTTGTTGCCTGAACTCCGTGGGCCGATTTGACCAGGAAAAGCTGGGAAAAGCATTCTGGCCGGGCCTTCGTCACTGCGCAGCACCCTGAAAAAATATGCAAGATCGGCGGCTCCCCAGAGGACGTCCCAAGCCCTACAGCACCATGATGGTCCTCCTCACCACCATCTTCATTACCATCGCATTCATCGGCCTTTACGAAGCTCAGCAGTGGGCGTGGCAACAGCACCTCGTTTCGGCGGATGACAACAGCAACAGGCAGCCGAGTGCGTCTGATGACCCGCAGCCCCGTCAGCGGGAGCTTGCGCCCGTCGCAGCGGCGCCAGAGCCACCTGTGTCTGTGCACAAGACTGATGAGCCGACGACCAGCTGTCTGCCCGTGGCAGTGCCAAAGCGGATGTCGCTGGAGGAGAAGGAGGCCATTGCAGACGCCTTCATGAGCGTCGTGTCGACACGCGAGGCCTTTCCGCTGTTGCTCAACTATCTGGGGATGTACCGAATCGGCACTGGCGGAGAGATTGGCGTCTATAATGGGGTACGTTGATTGACATACACAGATGGATGGATGGATGGACTCACCTCGATCTCTCTCTCTCTCTCTCTGTGTGTGTGTGTGTGTGTGTGTGTGTGTGTTTGGAATGGCATGGGCAGGAGTTTTCCGACAGGCTGCTGAGGCTATCTAGCCCGAAGCGCTATCACATGATAGAGCCGAAGGCGAAGCGGTTCTTTGAGGTCAGACGGGAGTTGCTGCAGGGGGAGAGGAGTTTTGACATCTCCTGGCACAGAAATTACTCGCAAGAGGCGGCCTCTCTGTTCGACGACGGTTACTTCGACTTCCTCTATGTCGACGGCTCACACTCACACGACGATGTGCTGCGCGACCTGCACCTCTACTACCCAAAGATGAGAAAGGGAGCCATCCTGGCTGGCCATGACTTTTGCGGCAAGCGCTCCAAGCAGCTGGTCAACGTGGGCGGCAAGAAAAGGAAGATACCGTGGTGCGGCGAGTACGACACGTTGCATCAAGACCTGACGAGGAAACATGCGACGGGGGGGCGGCAGAAGAGGAGCATGAGTGGGTGTGCCAAGGCGGTCTTATCGTTCTTTCATGGTCTCAACATCACAGTGCATTTCACGAGGGAAGACAGGCCAGCGCTGGACCCCTTGAGTCAAGACCCCCACAGCCCCATCCCCCATTTGAACCCCTCGTGGTGGTGTCTAGTCAGGTGACTGACATACACACGTGTGCGTCTGTCTGCCGGTGTGTTGTGGTGCCTGTGTGTCTGTGTGTCTGTGTGTGTGTGGGAGTGTTGTGG